GACTGCTTCAATTTCCTCCCTGGTTATTGGCCTGTTCAGGTTTTCTATTTCTTCCTGCTCCAGTTTTGGTAGTTTGTGGCTTTCCAGGAATGCGTCCATTTCTTCTAGATTGCCTAATTTATTGGCGTAGAGCTGTTCATAATATGTTTTTAAAATCGTTTGTATTTCCTTGGTGTTGGTAGTGATCTCTCCTTTCTCATTCATGATTTTATTAATTTGAGTCTTCTCTCTCTTCTTTTTAATAAGGTTGGCTAATGGTTTATCTATCTTATTAATTCTTTCAAAGAACCAACTCCTGGTTCTATTGATCTGTTCCACAGTTCTTCTGGTCTCAATTTCGTTGAGTTCTGCTCGAATTTTAATTAACTCTCTTCTTCTGCTGGGCGTCGGGTCGATTTGCTGCTTCTTCTCTAGCTCCTTTATGTGTAAGGTTAGCTTTTGTATTTGAGTTCTTTCCAGTTTTTGAATGGATGCTTGTATTGCGATGTATTTCCCCCTCAGGACTGCTTTTGCTGCATCCCAAAGATTTTGAACAGTTGTATCTTCATTCTCATTAGTTTCCATGAATCTTTTTAATTCTTCCTTAATTTCCTGGTTGACCCTTTTATCTTTTAGCAGGATGGTCCTTAACCTCCACGTGTTTGAGGTCCTTCCAAACTTCTTCTTGTGATTGAGTTCTAATTTCAAGGCGTTATGGTCTGAGAATATGCAGGGGACGATCCCAATCTTTTGGTATCGGTTCAGACCCGATTTGTGACCCAGTATGTGGTCTATTCTGGAGAAAGTTCCATGTGCACTTGAGAAGAATGTGTATTCAGTTGAGTTTGGATGTAAAGTTCTGTAGATATCTGTGAAATCTATCTGGTCCAGTGTATCATTTAAAGCTCTCGTTTCTTTGGAGATGTTGTGTTTAGAAGACCTATCGAGGGTAGAGAGAGCTAGATTGAAGTCACCAAGTATAAGTGTATTATTATCTAAGTATTTCTTTACTTTGGTTAATAATTCGTTTAAGTATTTGGCAGCTCCCACATTCGGGGCATATATATTGAGGATTGTTAAGTCCTCTTGTTGGATAGATCCTTTAAGTATGATATAGTGTCCCTCTTCGTCTCTCACTACTGTCTTCGGAGTGAATTTTAGTTTATCTGATATAAGGATGGCTACCCCTGCTTTCTTTTGAGAACCATTTGAATGGTAAATGGTTCTCCAACCTTTTATTTTCAGGTTGTAGGTGTCCTTCTGTCTAAAATGAGTCTCTTGTAGACAGCAAATAGATGGGTCCTGCTTTTTTATCCAGTCTGAAACCCTGCGCCTTTTGATGGGGTCATTAAGCCCGTTCACGTTCAGAGTTACTATTGACAGATATGAGTTTAGTGTCATCATGATATCTATTTAGTCCTTGTTTTTGTGGATTGTTCCACTGAACTTCTTCTTAAAGGGGAATTTTAAGAGTCCCCCTTAAAATTTCTTGCAGAGCTGGTTTGGAGGTCACATATTCTTTCAGTTCCTGCCTGTCTTGGAAGCTCTTTATCTCTCCTTCCATTTTGAATGAGAGCCTTGCTGGATAAAGTATTCTTGGTTGCATGTTCTTCTCATTTAGGACCCTGAATATATCCTGCCAGCCCTTTCTGGCCTGCCAGGTCTCTGTGGAGAGGTCTGCTGTTACCCTAATATTCCTCCCCATGAAAGTCAGGGACTTCTTGTCTCTTGCTGCTTTAAGGATCTTCTCTTTATCTTTGGAATTTGCAAGCTTCACTATTAGATGTCGAGGTGTTGAACGGTTTTTATTGATTTTAGGGGGGGATCTCTCTATTTCCTGGATCTGAATGCCTGTTTCCCTTCCCAGATTGGGAAAGTTTTCAGCTAGGATTTGTTCAAATACATATTCTGGCCCTCTGTCCCTTTCGGCGCCCTCGGGAACCCCAATTAAACGTAGGTTTTTCTTCCTTAGGCTGTCATTTATTTCCCTTAATCTGTCTTCATGGTCTTTTAATTGTCTGTCTCTTTTTTCCTCAGTTTCCCTCTTTGCCATTAACTTGTCTTCTATGTCACTCACTCGTTCTTCCACCTCGTTAACCCTCGTCGTTAGGACTTCTAGTTTGGATTGCATCTCATTCAATTGATTTTTAATTTCTGCCTGATTGGATCTAAATTCTGCAGTCATGAAGTCTCGTGAGTCCTTAATGCTTTTTTCTAGAGCCACCAGTAGCTGTATAATAGTGCTTCTGAATTGGCTTTCTGACATTGAATTGTAATCCAGATTTTGTAACTCTGTGGGAGAGAGGGCTGTTTCTGATTCTTTCTTTTGAGGTGAGGTTTTCCTTCTAGTCATTTTGCTCAGTGCAGAGTGGCCAAAAACAAGTTGTATTGGGAAAAGGAGAGAAAGAGAGAGAGAAGGAAAGAAAAGAGAAAAAGAAAAAAGAAAAGAAAGAAAAGGAAAGAAGAGAAGAAAAAGAGAAAGAAAAAGAAAGAAAGGTGAAAAAAAGGGGGGTGGGGGAAGCAATCAGAAATCAAAAAGAAAAAAAAGAAGAAAAAAAAAAAAAACAAAAACACGGGGGAGTATCTCTGATTCTGTAGACTTTAAGTCCCTTGACTTCCCCTGGAACTGGTCCTTCTAGCTGGTCTTCTGGGGGAGGGGCCTGTTGTGCTGATTTTCAGGTGTTAGCACTTGGGGGAGCTGCTCTGCCCCTGCCTGCTGCAGGGCTCAGTGGGGGTTGTTTACCCCGTGAGGCCCCAGGAGGAACAGCCGCAGTTGCTATGGCAACTCTGGAAGCCTGGATTCAGCCTCCGCAGTAACTACGGGAGCTCTCCGTCTGCAGGGCCTGGAGGCTCCGGGCGGGGCCGCTGATCTGCTCAGCTCGGGGCAGGAGCGTCCTTGCTGTCCTGGGCCCTCCCGGCCTCTGCCTGTCCCGGGGGAGGCCGGATCCTGGGCTGTGTCCCGGCGCCCTGTGCTCCGGGGCCTGCGCTGTGTGGATTCGCGCTCCCGCCCCGCAGCCCCCTCCGCGGAGCCGCCGCCCGAGCCCCTCCGAGCTGCTCCGGTCCCGCCGTGCGCGCTGCAGCCCTTAGGGAGCTCGGCGCACTCTCCCGGGGCGCAGGTGTCTGTTAGTGTCCCCGGGAGCCCGAGGGCATCCCCGCCCTCCTGGGTCCTGCTCCAACTCCCTGCGAGCCCCTTTCCGCCCGCCCGGGAAGGTTGGTGCAGCTCCTGCTCCTCCGGGACGGGGCTCTCCTGTCCTGGGGACACTCGCCCCGGCCTCAGCCCGGCTCCTCGCGGGGCCCCTCCCCCTCGGAGGCCTTTTGTTTCTTTATTTCTTTTTCCCCGTCTTCCTACCTTGATAGAAGCGCGAACTCTTCTCACTGTAGCATTCCAGCTGGTCTCTCTTTAAATCTCAGGCCGAATTCGTAGATTTTCAGGATGATTTGAAGGTTATCTAGGTAATTTGGTGGGGACAGGTGATTGGGTACCGTACTCTTCCTCCATTTTGCCCCTCCTCCTGGTATTTGTCATTTCAAATGGTTGAGGAATATTCCATTGTATACATAAACCACATCTTCTTTATCCATTCATCTTTCGAGTTAAAAATAGACCTACCTTCCGACCCAGCAATTGCACTGTTGGGGATTTACCCCAAAGATTCAGATGCAATGAAACGCCAGGACACCTGCACCCCGCTGTTTATAGCAGCAATGTCCACAATAGCCAAACTGTGGAAGGAGCCTTCGGTGTCCATGAAGACAAGGAATTTTAGTAAATCGTTTTTTAAATATCTATTCAAATGAGAGCCGAAGTCTATTCCATTTTCTTTTTCTGTGCTGATGTTTTAGCCAAAACTCCCATGCACAATCTCCCTCCAATAGACACAGATCAATATACTAGTGATTCCACCTGCATCTTTACAGTGGCATCATCATTGAGTGTTAATCAGTGTGATTGAGAAGCATTTATAGAAAAGAACATTCATCCAAGTGCACAAATGGCCAAGGAGGTGACCTATACGGAAAGTCCTCTACTGGATTCTTGTCAGACCTTCTGCAGCTGTGACACTGTCCTTCCTAGAACTGCCAGCAGGTCTGCCCCTTGTGCTCTGAGGTCAGTGGCACATACAGACTCACATGGCAGGGTTTCTGCAGACTTGTGTCCATGTGCTGGGAGGACAGATCCTAGGAAGGAGTCACTGCCCACAGGATGGGGAAAATTATTATTTCAAATAGACTAAAAGAATGAGAGATGACAATGATGTTCAGTGTGTAATCTTTCCAGGAATGCACACAAGGCCTTCTACCCACAAGCTGGAGAATCTCACACTCTGGCTCTTCAGGATTTCAGGAAACTCAGAGAAGGGGAAGGGCTGGAAGCAGGGGGATCATATAGGAGGAAGGTCTCAGCATCTCGTGCAGAAGAGGCCACGTGTACATGGGTACCAGTCACTCCTCTGGATGTGACAGTGATGTCAGAAGAGTTGGTATATAGACATACCTCTGTCCTGAATGGCCCATGATCAGCCAAGGGAACCGTGGATGGTTTCACACCGAGCAATTAGAGTGAAGCCTAAAATCAACACTGGGTGATTGGAGGCCACATGATGGGTCACATGTCCTGATCACAAAGGAGGAGGAGAGTGGATAGAGGTCTGCAGGCAGTACTTGTGTCCTCTGGCCATTTATCCCCCTGTCATGCATGCTGAAGTGGTTTCGAGATGCCACATGCAGCTTGAGGCTTATTTCTGAGGGATCAGGTTTTCTTAGAGTTGGAACACCACATGGCATTGCCTGTGCCCTCTGATCAGGGTTCACAGCTGAGACCTCTCCAACCCCTGGTCCCACACAGCCTCTCCCCTGCCCACGCTAGGTCAGCCTCAGGCAGATGGACCTGGCGCAGAGCCAGGGAGGGTCAGAGAGTGTGGGGGGTCTCATTTGCATGGACCACCCCTTCCTCTTCCAGAGGATGAAGAGGGAAGGGAGAGATGAGGGGAGGCTGTGGGGCCACAGAGGCAGGATCAGTGATGACCTCCACCATGGCCTGGTGCCCTCTTCTCCTCACCCTCCTCACTCACTGCACAGGTGACTGGATGTGGGGATAGAGGAAGGGGCCCTGGGCTGCCACATGGGATCCTGCATTCTCCTCTTGTCTCCAGACCCCAGCATCACCCTCTCTGTGTCTCTCCTCCTTGCAGGGTCCTGGGCCCAGTCTGTGCTGACTCAGCCGGCCTCAGTGTCTGCGGTCCTGGGCCAGAGGGTCACCATCTCCTGCACTGGAAGCAGCTCCAACATCGGTGGAAATTACGTGAGTTGGCACCAGCAGCTCCCAGAAACAGGCCCCAGAAACATCATCTATGCTGATAACTACCGAGCCTCAGGGGTTCCTGATCGATTCTCTGGCTCCAAGTCAGGCAGCACAGCCACCCTGACCATCTCTGTGCTCCAGGCTGAGGATGAGGCTGATTATTACTGCTCAGTGGGGGATGATAGTCTCAAAGCACCCACGGTGCCCCAGGCCTGTGGGGAAGTGAGACAAAAACCTATTTAGTCGTCTACAAAGTGAGTGAGCACCTCAGCAGCTGCCAGCTTAGGCTACCCATGGGATTCATTTTTTAAAAGTTTTAATTAATTTATTCATGAGAGAGAGAGAGAGAGAGAGAGAGAGAGAGGTAGAGACTTAGGCAGAGGGAGAAGCAGGCTCCATGCAGGGAGCCGATGTGGGACTTGATCCCAGGACCCCAGGATCATGCCCTAGCTGAAGGCAGACGCCCAACTCTTGAGCCACCAAGGCCTCCAACCCTGTGGGATTCTATTTCTTCCTAATCCTTGGCTGATGCCTTAGGTCCAGATCCAGGTCAATCTTGGGGACCCTTCTGGAAATGACAGCTCCTTCATCATCTCTGAACTCAGGGTCACTCGTTGTAGCTCATTTGTATGCAGAGGGTCTCCAAGGAAAGAGAAGGTTTTGTCCTTGTGGCCTCGAAAAGTTTGTTCTAGGCCAGTGTACATTCACTTACCATCTTCTGAGTTCTTCGTAAATGAACCCCTCGTAGGTCATGAAGCTGTCATGGTCCTTCAGCCTCATTCCCGCTCTGCTGATGCACATGTCAGCTCTCCATGCAGCCACGCTCATTACTGGCTTAACTTCATCCATATGACTAGTTCTCCTTACTATTTGATGATTGCATGGAACACATAAATCAATGCCACAACAAAAAGTATGAAAATTAAAAAAAATAAATCTCTAGAGAAAACCCCCTGTGCTTCATTATGGAAATGTTATTTATAATCACCACACCTGAAAGCAATAAAAAATCTGAACATGGTTATTTTTAAAAGATTTTATTTATTTATTTCAATGTAGGTTCTGCTGCTAGTTCAGAGAGTCTATAAATCTGTGCTCAAGGAACGCTGGTTGCTCACAGCTACCTACAGAGCATTTCCATGGACACTTCACTACTGTGTGGATGGTTTCTAGCTCTCTTATGTGAGAGTCTAGTTGAAAGCTGCAGGGGAGAAATGCTGACTACTTAGATTTCGGTACAGCGCGTTTCCCTGGCACCTCTTCACCTAGAGTGGAGTTAGGTTCGAACTCCATTGTTGAGACCCTGCCAAAAGCTGTATACAGGGAATGCTGCTTTCTGAGAGTTGAGCTCAGGGCCTTTCATCGGGCCTCACACCAACTGTGGACTAGGATCTAAGTTCCATATGAGAGAGGATTTTCTGAAGCTGCCTACAGATAGCACTTGTTCCTCAGAGCTCAGTAGACTGCATTTACCTTGAGCCTCCTCAGCTTCTTTTGATATAGGTCCTAATGCAGACAGGTGAGAGGGTAGGGGATAGCTGCACTGAAGGGGCTCTGTTCACAGATTGTCCCTCCTTATATGAGAGACTTGTCAAAAGCTGCATTGGGGAATGCTTCTTTCTGAGCGCTGAACATAGGGCCTTTCCATGGATGGCCACATGTACTTGGATAGCTTTCCAGGTCCCTGATGTCAGATGCTTTTTAGAACCTTCCATCAAGAAACGACGGTATCCCAGAATTCAGAGTATTCCACTTCCATGGAGTCTCCATGTGTACTTTTGATATATATTCCAGGCTCATGGATTAGAAGAATTAACACTGTGAAGATGTCAAAACTACCCAAGGGCAATTTACACGTTTAATGCAAACCTTATCAAAATACAAAGGACTTTATTCAGGGAGTTGCAACAAATAACCATAAGATTTGTGTGGATTCAGAAAATACCCTGAATAGCCAGGGGAATATTGAAAAAGAATACCAGAGCCAGGGGCATCACAATGCCGGATTTCGGGTTGTACTACAATGTTGTGATCATCAAGACAGTGTGGTACTGGCAAAAAAAAAAAAAAAAAAAAACAGACACATAGATCAATGGAACAGAATAGAGAGCCCAGAAACGAGCCCTCAACTCTATGGTCAACGAATATTCCACAAAGCAGGAAGACAATCCACTGGAAAAAGGACAGTCTCTTCAAGAAATGGTGCTGGGGAAATCTGGACAGCCACGTGCAGGAGAATGAAACTAGACCACTCTCTTGCACCATACACAAAGATAAACTCAAAATGGATAAAAGATCTAAGTGTGAGATAAGAATCCATCAAAATCCTAGAGGAGAACACAGGCAACACCCTTTTTGAACTTAGCCACAGCAACTTCTTCCAAGATACATCTATGAAGGCAAGGGAAACAAAAGCAAAAATGAACTATTGGGACTTCATCAAGGTATTTATTTCATTGTATTTTGGAAGAGGCGGGAATCTAGAGGTGGTAAGGAGGCCACAGATTGACAGCAGGTGGAGGAAGGAGGAGGGTGAGTGTGTGAGGTGACTGTGTTCGTGGTGATGTCACTCTCCTACACGGCTCTGTGATGGCAGCTGCACCACACTGCTGTGTTGTCACAGCACAGTAAACTATACCCCAGAGTGACAACACCTTCATGCAGGCAGATTGTCATCTAGGAGTCTGGGGTCCGTGACGTGGTGCATAGTGTGACATCATCCCATCCACTTCTCCAAGGAGGTGTGACCTCGTATCCTTAAATGGGGAGGTCAGGAAGGTGGAGACCTAAGGGAATCTGAACAGGCAGTTTGGAAAGGGAGCAAAGAAACTGCATATGAGCCCCTTCTGTCCATTGTGATGTGTCAGAGCCTTGCCTGGAATTGGACCACAACCTCCATGGTCACAGATTGATGGGAGCCAGCATTGTCCCTTCAGAAACAGGAGGTCCTGTGTTGTGAGGGTCTCAGCCTCTCTATAACCAATGTCAAGGTCGGACCTACCCTTGTGGTTCTTGTTCAGAGAGTCTTCAGCTGCAGGAGGTCCTTCAGCTACAACACAGGAAAATGAAAACTATAGGTTGATTATTTACCAATCTGGAAATTATAGAACACATCTGAGGCCACAAACAGGTCATCATAGTGACAGAGGTAGCCTACAGCCTCCCCACAAGGGGTGTGGACCGAGGCACATCTGACAGAGGAAGGAGCTGGGGTCAGAAGCAGACACAGAGAGAGACAGAGAGAGACCAAACTTCAGGGATCCACACTACAGTCTATGGGGGCATCACTGATTTCTTTGTCTATGTGCTCCCTGCCCTGGGGATCTGGTGACCCTGAGCCTCATTCTAATCCTGGAGAAGTAGTAGAGCAGTGGGGACAGTTGGAGACAGTCCCCAGGGAGAAGCCATTGAAGGGGATTCTGAACCATTTGGGCCCATGAGGTGCAGCCTCAGGAAGGCTGGGTGTGACCTGGGTGTGGCCTGTCCTCCATGCACAATGGGTATGGGACTCACCGCACTGGGGCAGGTGGCTCTGCTCTGGGCTCCTGTCCCTTCATCTCAGTCAGGGGGCACCAAGGCTGGGGCCACAGGGCATTGGGAGCCTGTCCCTGGAGTCCATGGGGTGCTGGCAGCTGGGAAGGCAGCCCCTGCCTGAGTCTGGGCCCATGGCCCACCTGCTGTCAGCCCCAGGCCCTCAGAGCTCAGGGGGGTCCTCCCAGGCCCCTTCCCATGACAGACACTAGGAAGAGAAAGTGGGGGTGGGGAGCAGTAACCAGGTGAGGTTTTCTCTCCCTGTGGGCTGAAGGGATGAGAGAGACCCCCAGCTCTGCCTACCTGTGGCTGGGGTCCTGGGGATGTGCAGGTGGCGACAGAGGTTGGGGTTCATCTCCATCCCCACTTCTTCATGACACCTGATGTCCAGGGCACTGCAGCCTGACCTTGAACATTCACCTCATGCTCCTCCATGAGTCCCCCTCCCCCTGGGTTGTGAAGGTCTTCAACATCCCTCCTAACAAATGCTCACTGTCCTCAGCCCTTCTGGAATATTTCCTTGGGGAAAAAGGAGGGGCAAGTGTCACATTATCAATAACCCGCTCACACCTGGGGACCCGCAGCAGAGGGCAGGACTCACTACCACACACACACTGCCAGGACGCTGCAGGGACACCCCCACGGAGCCAGCCTGGACTGAGGGACACTGCCTCTAGGACCTTGTCCCCCGTCCTGCACCCAGGGAGTGGGCCCAGAGTTCAGTCCTAGGCTCCTATCCCTTCTACGTGGCCACACCCAACCTGGGGACTGCTCACCAAGCTTGCACACCAGCCCCCAGCCGTGGACACTGCTCCTGCTGTTCAAGGTCAGTGTCCCCATTTCTGATCTAGGAATTCAGTGTTTGTACTCCTTTCCCAGCTCTTCTACTCCTTTAAGAACAGAGAATCCTCTCCCTACCCAAGGTTCCCCTGCAGTGACACCAACACCCTCTAATGGTGGAGGTCAGAGGAAAAGGGGCTGGCAGTGCTGGTGTCAGGGAGGACCATGGTGGACATTTAGGGGTGTGGAATTTGAATTTATGCCAACAACACTGAGGAACTGCCTTATCTGATTGAGGAAGATCCCAATGACTGCCTTGAGGACAGGGTGTCTGAGGAAAGACTGTTCCAACTCAGATATTTAAGTAAAAAGGCTTTTTTTTAAAAAAAATATTTATTTATGATAGTCACAGAGAGAGAGAGAGAGAGAGAGGCAGAGACACAGGCAGAGGGAGAAGCAGGCTCCATGCACCGGGAGCCCGACGTGGGACTCGATCCCGGGTCTCCAGGATCACGCCCTGGGCCAAAGGCAGGCACTAAACCCCTGCGCCACCCAGGGATCCCAAGTAAAAAGGCTTTGATTCTAGAAGTGTGGGGATCATTTGCACAGTGAAAGCTGAGGCAGATCTGAGGTGAGCGCTGAGGAAGGGAAGGTTTGTGGAAGCAAATGCTCAGACATTGAACACGTCTGGAAAATACTAAAATCTCACATTTAACTGTTACTAAACTAAGACAACATGTAAAAAAGCAGGGAGGGAATTTTTTTAATAAATTTATTTTTTATTGGTGTTCAATTTGCCAACATATAGAATAACACCCAGTGCTCATCCAGTCAAGTGCCCACCTCAGTGCCCATCACCCAGTTACCGCCACCCGCCCACCTCCCTTGTTCATTTCCAAGAGTTAGAAGTCTCTCATGTTCTGTCTCCCTTT